CTGCTCCATCTGAAAGCACGTGATGATGATTTACTGCTGATTACAGAACCGGCTTTACTAACAAAATGCGCATGTGAGAGTGTGTGTGTGTGGGTGTGGGTGTGTATCTCTGTGTGAGTGTGAGTGTGTGTGTACTGGTTTATATATCCTGGTGGGGACTTAAACCTGACTACACACAGACGTGTGTGTGTGTGTGTGTGGGTGAGTGTGTGTGTGTGTGTGTGTGTGTGTGTGAGTGTGTGGAAGAGTGCGTGTGGAAGAGTGTGTGTGTGTGTGTGGTTGTTAGCTGTTATTAGCGTGTGTGTCAGTCTCGCAGCGGGAGCGAGTGGCCCGTGTGTTCGGTCAGATGTGTCACGGGGTTTACGGGAGCAAGCGACTGTGTGATGGTTCAGTAATGAGTGTCTGACAGGAATTCACTTCCTCTAATGGTGTGTGTGTGTGTGTGTGTGTGTGTGTGTCAGGTGCCCAGTCTGTGTGAAGACCTGCTGTCGTCGGTGGATCAGCCACTGAAGATCGCGCGTGATAAAGTGGTGGGCAAAGACTATCTGCTGTGTGACTACAACCGTGATGGAGACTCCTACAGGTACATTACAGAATGAGATACTTCCACTGCTGGTCACGCTGCTCTTTTACATGCAGATAATTGCCTTTGTTTGCCAAAAGTAAATCCAGAAAACTTAAAAAACAGAATTTGTAAGAAAATTATGTATTATTGTAAAATAAAATTTTATATAAATGATTAATTTGTTAAAGATTTATTTATATTTTTAATATGTGAATAATTAGTAAAGATTCAATTGATTAGACATTTTGATTATTAATTAATATTATTCATTGAGCTGTAAAAATTAGTTTTAAAAAAAGTTGTTAAATTGTGTAAGTTTCATGCTTCTAGATTACTGAAATTTTAATCTAACATTAAAATAGAATTCAGAAATAATTAAGATGTAAAACACAGAATTTGAGAAAAAATCAAATGGATTTTTATAGGGCCCTTTTAATTTACATTTTATTATTAAATTGCATAAGTGCCATTGTTTCAGTTAATTAGACATGCTTTTTGATTAATAAAATTGAATTACGCTATTAAAATAGAGTCCAGGAATATATTCAGAGGAAAACAAAATTGAAACATGTAAAAAAATAAAACGTAAATTAGGAAATATTAATAAGTCTGAATCTAGAAAAATTAAAACAGAAAATTAGAATTTGGGGAAAATTAAATGCAAATTGGGAAAATAATGAAATAGGCCCTAAAAATTTAATTAATAAATTGTTGTTAAATTGCATAGGTTTTATGATTTGTTATTTAGACATGATTTCTAAAATATAATTTAGGCATTAAAACATAACCCAGTAAAGTTCAAACAGAAAAGCAGAATTTGGTAAAGAATGAAGTTGTGGTTGCAACAAAGTGGTTGCCAAGCAACAGACAAACGTAAACAAAGGTGTATGTTACTTTGTAGAGTCATTTACAACAGCTTCGAATGCGGCTCAGCCAATCAGAATCAAGCACCGGAACTATCCGCTTTGTGTGATTGTTTCTGTCAGATCTCCCTGGAGTAATAAATACGAGCCTCCGATCGATGACGGCGCCATGCCCTCGGCTCGTTTGCGCAAGCTGGAGGTGGAGGCTAACAACGCCTTCGATCAGTACAGAGACCTGTGAGTACACACCCACGACACGCCCCCCTGCGCTCTGATTGGCCAGCAGCCGTGATTGACGCTCCGCTCGCTCTCGCAGGTATTTCGAGGGCGGGGTTTCCTCCGTCTACCTGTGGGATCTGGATCACGGATTCGCCGGAGTCATCCTCATCAAGAAAGCTGGAGACGGCTCCAAGAAGATCAAGGGATGCTGGGACTCCATCCACGTGGTGGAGGTGCAGGTGAGAGCTCAACCTTTCTTACAGCTCCACCAATTATACAAGAAGCCATTCACATTCATAACAACATTAGATTTATGGGTAGTGAGTTTTTTGCTTTATTACATTCATTTTATTTATTTTTTGTATGGTATTTTAGAAACATATTGTAAGTTTCAAAAAGTTTGGAAAACGTCTCAGAGTCTCTTCTGCTCACCAAGGCTGCATTTATTTGATCAAAAATACAGGGAAAAAAAATCTATTTTGTGAAATATTTTTAGCTATATAGAATATCTGAAAATGACTGAAATTTTTGAGGATTTTTGTTGTTGTTTATTGCTAGTTAATGACAATGTAAACTGTTTTTACGTCCCGAATTTTGGTATCATGGTTTCAAAAAACGTAAAGAATATATAAGATTATTTAAATATAAAACAGCTCATATAATATGCAGTGTGACCACTTGTTGACTATATTATTGTCAGAAATATTTTATAGTTTATTCAAATTAACAAATAATCAGATTTATTCAAAAAAAAAAATAGTGTTTTCTTAATTATGTTTTTTAACATTTCGTTTTATAAATTTCATTTTTTTATAATTACTATAGTTTTTCCTTTACGTTTTGCCTGTTTTTTTTGTTTTGTTTTGTTTTGTTAATTTCTGATCATTATTGTTTGTAAGTAACAATTTAAACTCTTCCTTTGTTCCAGGTTTTGGTAAAATGGTTTCAAAAATTTTAAACCAGATGAAATAAAATTGCTCATATAATTAGTTTCACCACCTGAGGGTGACTATATTATTACGATATATTATTAAACTAAATATAATTTATTTATTCAAATTAATAAAATAATGAATTTTGTGGAATAAAGGTTTAACTAACTTTAATATTGTCATTGTCTTTTTTTTTTTATTTTTTTTTTTTAGTTTTTTGTTTATTTCTAGTAAATAACACACACGTTATATGCAGTTTCAATGCCCCGCATATTAATAGCGGCTCCCTGATGCCCGCATTTTATATACAGTATAATTACCCAACGATATAACTGCGAGAGAAAGTACTGAAATATATATTTTCCCTGTGTTTCCTTCATGCTGTGTGAGCTACTGAAATGAGCAGCACTGCGAAACAGCCAATCAGAGCAGAGCTCAACATTATTATTCATGAGACTACCAAATAAGGTAAAAACAGACCATTTCATTCTAGAGACAAATCCTAGGGTTATAAATGGACATGTAAAACCGTTTCTGGAGATTTTTTTCCCTTAACTAAGCCACATACCTTCTATGTAGATATCGGAGAACAATTTAAAATATTGTATCAATGCATTCTATGGCACCTTTAATATTTTCCTCAAAACAATAGTCCCCCTAATGTTCTAGATATGATTATGGCCTTGTTTGGTATAAATAAAAAAGTTAGTTGAAAAAATCACCAGTGTAGAAACAATGATACAGTGAAAGAGAACAAAGAGGTTTTTTTATTATTATTATTCAATAAAGAAAAAAAAGTTTCTTTTGTTGTGAAAGTGCATGATATTGTAGGCTGCCCGTGAAAGCTTTTTTTTTTTCCAGTGTACATATAACAGCCTATAGTTAATATAGCAAAGCATCGCAACAACACGTCAACACACCGGTTTTCAATGGCTATGCGCAACAACCGATTCATGAGTGAATGATTCTTTGAATGAACTGACTCGCAAACCAGTCTCAGACTCACTGATTCAGATTCCATCTGCTGAATCACTGAGCTGGTCAACACTTATTGATTCACTCATATCTGAACTCAAAATGAACCATGAAATCTTACAGTATTTCAGACTTTTTTTTTTTTTTAAGTTTGAATCCATGTCATTACTTGTTTACTAATTCAATTCTGAGTTCTTGGTTCTCAGAATGAATCAAGAACTCCTACAGTTGTACTTGAGATTTGAATCAGTGTCGTTGCACATTTACTGATTCATGCTTTAAATTACATTGGGAATCATCGATTCACATTTTCTTAAACATTATATTTTTTTTAGTACCGACTTGGTACCGAAATACCGGGCCTTTTGACAACACTAATATATATATATATTTTAAAAATTATATTAAATATATTTATTTTCTATATTTAAAGTGCACCCTAAATATTTGTCATGATTGCAAAATTCGTAAACCACAAGATGAACGTAATATAAATTAGCTAAAAACATTTAGACCTCCTGAGGTTGACAACGTATGTTTTCTGAAGACTTTATTTTATTTTAATATACATTTTTTTACATTTATTTATTTTTTGGTTTGTTTGTTTGATTTATTTTTGATTGTGTTTTTTTATTTAATTTAATATTTTATTTATTTTAGACTATTTGAGATGCTGTTGTTTATTTCAGTAATTCAGTGAACTGATTCAAACAGTAACTTCTGAGTTTGTGAGTCATCTTGAATGAATCATTCTCATCAGTGAATCAGACTACACCGCTTGTGTTGTTTATTGCGCACAGCCAGCGAAAAATACTGTGTAGACTGATGTGTTTTCCTTCTATGAATCAGAATATTTACATTTTTACCCAGCTTCCATGTTTCTCATTTGAATGTCCAATACAGTGATGTTTTTTAAGTCACTTATGTTAACAAATATACTTATTCATATTTTAGTATTTTTGTTTCATTGTATATACAGATTCAGATTCATTACATATTCAGATTCATTACCGATTCATTTCAGATTCAGATTCATTACCGATTCAGATTCATTACAGATTCAGATTCATTACAGATTCAGATTCATTACAGATTCAGATTCATTACAGATTCAGATTCATTACAGATTCAGATTCATTACAGATTCAGATTCATTACAGATTCAGATTCATTACAGATTCAGATTCATTACAGATTCAGATTCATTACCGATTCAGAATTATTACCGATTCAGATTCATTACCGATTTAGATTAATTTCAGATTCAGATTCATTACCAATTCAGAATTATTACCGATTCAGGTTCATTACCGATTCAGAATTATTACAGATTCAGAACCGATTCAGATTCAGAATTATTACCGATTCATATTCATTACCGATTCCGATTCATTACCGATTCCGATTCATTACCGATTCAGAATTATTACCGATTCAGATTCATTTTAGATTCAGATTCATTTCAGATTCATTTAGTTCCTTGTTGATTCCCATCATTCCTAGTGTTCTCCCTGCTTTCGTTCTGCTGAGGTTTCCTCATATTTTCACCGTCTGTCTGTCTCTTCACTCTTCTGTCTGTGGTTCTCGGGCTCCAGATCTATCGAGTCTCTCCCTGATAATCAAAAGTACCGTCAGCTGCAGCAGGAGCTCTCTCAGGTTCTGACCCAGCGTCAGATCTACATTGACTAGGGTCAGCTGTTTGTGCGTGTTTGCCTGCAGTGACCTCCTTAACAGACACACTAACTGCATGCAGGTGCATTCTGGGTACAGCTCATCAATATTAATGAGTGTTCATAAACCTCCAGTGTGGTTTAAACTGTAGTTTAATACAGTGTTCATGAGGTCGATACGTTTTTATTGCACAGTTGTTTTTTCTCAGGGTGTACATGGGTTCTTAAAAAGTCTTACATTTGGTTTAATCAAATTTAAGGCCATAAAAGGTCTTAAATACCTTAATAAAAGTCTTAATTATTATTAAGGACCATAGTGTTTGTTATAGTTTTTATATTGTAATATGTTGTAGATGGTTATAAGATGCATATTTTACGCCTTTCGTCTTTTTGAATGAGCAGCTGAACTATTAAGACATAAACATTTCAAAATAAGAGTCCCGGTGTATTTCAGGCTTGTTTATGATTAAAATCCCTCATTATGCATATAATAGTTTTGTTTTTGGTTATTGTTGGTATTTTGGTTCCCATATGCCTCTCATCTGTTTGAATGAGCAGCTGAAATAGTAAAGTGTATACATTTCAAAATAAAAGTCCCCGAGTATCTCAAGCTTGTTTAGGATTAAAAGTCCTTCATTGTGCATAGAATCTTTTCATTCTGGTTATTATTGGTATTTTGGTCACACAATAAACAGTATGAGATTTAAACCATTTAAATTTCTTTGAACTCCTCGTATCAGCAAAACCCAATAACGATGGAGCTCTACTTTCTGTGTATTGATTTTAATACATATGTCTTGGGTATTTTACAGTTTTGCAGTTGTAAGTGTGCCTGTTTAATGAAGTAAAAGAACCTGAGATTCCGGATTTATTTTGAGATTTAATGGTTTTGTTCTGTAACAGCATGTGGTGTTAATTTTATTTGATTTAGTTTGATTCAAATTAAGGTCTTTAGTTTGATTTTAAAACTCTCCAGAAACCCTGTTCTCTGGGCGATGGCGAATAAAAGTGTGCGACGTTTTGAAACCTGTCTCACTCTCTCTTCCCTCGGTTTTTTTCGTGTTTTTCAGGAGCGTTCAGACGCTGGCGGATAAATCGAAGCAGGAGGCTCTGAAGAACGACCTGATGCAAGTGCTTAGCCAACGCAGCAAACAGCAAAGCTAGAGACGATCACCTGCCCGTCTCTCTCTCCGTCTGTCTGTCTCACTCTCTGTCTCTCCACCTCACAGCTGTCTGTCTCCATCTGCGCAAAACAAATGAAAAAGGAGAAAAGGCTACGCTTTTTGTTTTTGTATTTCAGCTCGCGTTTCACTGCACCCGTCTCTCTCTCTCTGGTCTGTAATCATGTAGTATTAAGATGGCGTCTGATTGGCTCTCGGTGACATCATCGCAGCGGGGGGGCGGAGCTTTTCTCCCGCCATCAGAAGAACACGTTTTCTCGTAGTCTCACCCGTCACATACGTGCGTCAGGAATAAACGAGGAGCGGGTGATTATATTAATATATATAAATATACACACGTGTATGTATTATGAGCATTATCTTGCTGTTAATATTAAACTTTCTGCTTGAGTCCACACAGATGAGTGTGTATATGCGTGAGTGTGTTTGTGTCATTAAGCCACAAACATATTCCTCTCTCTGTCCATTCGGGAGCGTCAGACAGTTTCGTTGTTTTCTTTGGGGTGGATTATTTGTCAAGTTAATTTTTTTCTTTTGGTCTTTTTTTTTTTTTGTAAAGCTTACAGTTTATGTTAAATTAGGGCCTCCAGCAACAATAAAAAGAGGAAAAACTATCCGTGTGCTTTGTGTTTGTTTAAAAAGCTTTCAGGTCATTGAACGGCTCTTATCCACTTTATTTTGTGACGCGAAGTATGCAGTTTCCTACATTGCTGCGCTTCATGCCTCTGGTATCACAATCACTGTCTTCTCACGTAATCAGTTACACGCTAATCAATATTTCATTAACGTTTATTCATTTGCTAAGTAGCCATGTCATTATCACAAATTATACACTTATCTCAACTGCTCTGCTGATTTAATCTTACTGGAATGAATGATCATGTAAGTCTTTTTGTGGTTGTTGAGGGGAGATTTACAGATTCAGTCATCTAGACATGTACAGTGAGATCTTTATATATCTTTGTTATGTAGGATGGCGACGCGTTCACACGCTGCGGCTTCTCTCTCTCCCGACAGAAAGGTGTTTTCGTGTTTTTTGTCTTGTGAATCGCAGTGTTTTTGTACGTATTCGTCGCGTCTATAGTATCCATGTCATTATCACAAATTATACACTTATCTCAACTGCTCTGCTGATTTAATCTTACTGGAATGAATGATCATGTAAGTCTTTTTGTGGTTGTTGAGGGGAGATTTACAGATTCAGTCATCTAGACATGTACAGTGAGACATCTTTATATATCTTTGTTATGTAGGATGGCGACGCGTTCACACGCTGCGGCTTCTCTCTCTCTCGACAGAAAGGTGTTTTCGTGTTTTTTGTCTTGTGAATCGCAGTGTTTTTGTACGTATTCGTCGCGTCTATCTGTCTCTAAGCGCGCATACAGTCGTGAGTTTCTGCTCGATGTCGGCAATTTCAATTCTCTGTGTGTATGTGCTGTACATGTGGAAGAATTGACAATAAAGCAGACTTGAGACTTGAGATATACAGGGAAGATTGATCGTGGCTTATTATTGATGGAATTAGAAAGATATGGTGTAAGAGGGCTAGCTTATTCATGGTTAAAAAGTTATCTTGAGGATAGATATCAATCTGTTCGCATAAAACATGATTTATTGAAAGTTACTTGTGGTGTACCGCAGGGTTCAGTGTTAGGCCCTAAATGGTTTGTACTGTATATAAATGATATTTGTAATGTGTCTATCCCAGATAGCACATGTACGTCTGCAAGAGGTCTGTTAAAGATCTGGAAAGCTTCTGCTGTGTACAAACATCTGATAGACATCTCTAAGATGTCAGTTTTACATCATAAACATCTTAAAGACATCTTCTAAACATCTATTTGACATCTGATAGGAAACGTCCAATAGACGTATTGCAGATGAGCAAACACTAAAAAATATGTCTTGCAGATGTAATGCAGACGTCAAATAGACGTCTCTGTGATGTACGTGGGCTATCAGAGAAAGTATTGAAAGTTGTATTTGTTGCTGACACAAATTTAGATTGTTCTGTAAAACATTTGGAACGGCTTCTAAATTAACATTTTAAAGAAATCGTTTGATGCTAACAGGTAATTGAATTTTAGCAAAAAGTATAATTTTTCATAATCGACAAACTTAATAGTGAAAAAAAATAGGATTAAACATGAACAAATTGAATATGTAAGTAAAATGTTGGGTGTATTGATCAATTGTTAATTAATAATGTTGAAATCAACTCTAGTATTACATAAAACTAAAAATATATTGAACTTAATTAAATATTTTGTATCATTCTCTTATATGTTAATTATTGTGTGGTAGTATGATGAAACTTATAACAGAAATGAACAGAAATCCCGATTGTATCAATTTAGTTATAACAAGCCAACCAATAAATTGTTGTAATAATGTCTGTGGTTTAAGTTAATTCATAGACTCTCTAGTAGTGTTCGTTGTTATTATTTCTTGATTATTTTCTGCTAATTACTCTTAATATTTCTTTTGACGACTTTGGCTATTTTTATCCTCTTAGAAAAAGCGTGCGAGTTGCCGGGCAGATTAGAACATTTGACAAAATAATTGAAACCTTTACGATACGTGAAGTATTAATCAGTATTACTAAACGGTCCTGTTAAATGGTTTTACACCATAAATCATATCCAGTAGCGTTAGTCAGTAATTAACAGCAAGGGTGTAGTAGGTTTGTGGCTGATATTGGTGAACATAGCGTCTCTACTAAACTCAACAGTACTGTAAAGGTTCAGTAGATCATTTACTGGGAAACGTGTTTAATTGTTTATAGGGTGGTGAATGTTGTTCCTCTTCATTGGACAGAGCAGCTCCCTCTAGCGGTGACCAAATACAAGCGCACTTCACAAGTTCATTCAAATACTTCAGATCGACCTGTTTCACAGCGGTGTGTGAATATAAAAGCATTCGAATGTAAATGTTATGTACCACCGAAAAACACTCATTTAGAATTGAAATCCCTGCTTTCTGAGGTAAGACATATGCGCTGACGCGCTCCGGACAGCAGGAGGCGCCAAAACAACACAAACACTTCTGGAGTTTATCAATGTAGAAACGAGTATTTTGTTTACATAGCTAAGCAGAACAAACAACTCAACCAACCTATGAAATCACACACGAGGGTCATTGTAATTATTGTTTGGAGATTTAGCAGTGCCAGGCATATTTTGGATTCCTTTCAGGAAAACAGGAGGCAGCACTGTTGTGAAATTACATATATCTCTTAATATATAGACTCTATTTGACGTCTACAAGACCTATTTTTTAGAGTGTTTGCTCATCTGCTATACATCTAAAGGACGTTTCCTATCAGATGTCAAATAGACGTTTAGAAGATGTCTTTAAGATGTAAAACTGACATCTTGGAGACGTCTATCAGATGTTTGTTCACAGCAGATGCTTTCCAGATCTTTACCAGACGCACCTGTGATATCTGGGTAGTATATGTAACTTGAAAGCGCTGTGTATTTGTAATTCTATTAACAATAGCACACATCCAGCAAACACAGAGCATCCCTTCCTGCTTGGGAACCCAATTAGAACGTTCTCTCCAGGATAACCGAAAACTAACGTTCCCAGAACGTTCTGAGAACCAAAAATGAGTCTTTATCACAGCTCTCCTCTCAGTAAAATGAGCTGATGTTCCTCTCCAGAGCAGATATTTCATCTGAAAGTGTAGCACTGGCCGGGGGTTTTGGGGCAGTTGCAGCTGCCCTTTTAAGATCTGCCCCCACTGCGTCCACAGGACACCCCCACCTCCCCCTCTCTCCCCCGGCGCTGTGAATCAGGTTTATGTTAATGACCCCCCTCCCCAGACTCGATCCGCTTCACTGGAGGTGTGTGTGAGTGTGTGAGTAGTGCGTGGATCAGCATGGAGACTCCACACGCCAACTCTGAGGGGAAAAGCTGGATCTAATTCATTGGCCGTGGAGGAGCAGCACCGAGGAGCGATGAAGCGGGATTTGTTGCTCTTTGTTTTCGGGTGGTTCAAACTCCCGTGGCTCCTGGATTGTTTGGTTGTTCATGTGAGTGAGGATGCGGGACTGGGCACCGCGATCGCCGGTCTGGAGGGAAGCTCCGCTTGCGCGCTGGAGCAGCTCATCCTGCCGCGCTTCGCGGAGAGTTTCCTGCGCCCGGACGCGGGTGTGCTGACCCTCTCGGGCGCTTTGAACTGCGACGCGGTTCTTTTGAACCCGTTTAGTGTGTACGCGGTCGTGGACTGTGCTGATAACGCGTCGGGTTTCAGACACCTTGTAACCAGCCAGTATGACGTGCACGTTCACGGGGAGAACTGCGCGAGGGTACGCAAACGGGAAGAAAAACTGGATGTGGAGATTATAAGTTTGATAGACACTTCTGAGTGCCTTGAGGCGGACACTGCTGTTTTCCGGGTGTTTGATGTGTTACCGGGCAACCCGACGCGCTGTAATGTAACCGGGACTTCAGCGCTTTATATCTCCAACGGGCTGCTGTTTACTTCTGCTCCGCTGTGTTTCACTCGCGACTCATTGCTGGAGTTTCAACTGCGCTGCGTGGGACGCGAAAGAAGCGCACGTTCTGGTCTCGCGCATGCGCAGTGGCGCGTGGGCCGCGGCCCGTTCACGCAAACACACCTGAGGAAGTTACTGCAGCGGGCCGGGGGTTCGAACTCGGGTCTGCTGAGCAGGAGGAAGAGGAATGTCAACAATAACCCTCAGTTTCAACCTCCCATGTATCAGGTGTCCGTTCCAGAGAATCAACCAGCTTGGACTTTTGTTGTTGTTTTAAAAGCAGTTGACCCGGATGAGGGTGAAGCTGGTAGGCTGGAATATTTCTTAGAGGCATTGTTTGATAGTCGTTCCAACAATCTCTTCGCCGTCGACCCATCAAGCGGAGTCGTTTCCACCGTGGAGATACTAGACAGAGAAACAAAGGACACGCATGTGTTCAGGGTCACGGCGGTTGATCGTGGAATGCCACGACGTACAGCCATGGCCACTCTTACCGTAACAGTCAGCGATACAAACGATCACGACCCCGTATTTGAGCAGCAGGACTATAAAGAGAGCGTGAGAGAAAATCTGGAGATTGGTTACGAGGTTCTAACTGTGCGCGCCACTGATGGCGATGCTCCCGTTAACGGAAACATCCTTTATCATTTGCTGAACAACAACAACGGGACTAACGATGTTTTTGAGATCGATTCCCGGTCTGGCGTTATTCGTACACGAGGACTGGTTGACCGCGAAACGGTCGAATCCTATGTGCTTCTAGTCGAAGCCAACGACCAAGGACAGGGTCCCGGCCCCCGAAGTGCGACGGCGACCGTCCACATCGTCGTGGAGGACGATAACGACAACGCGCCGCAGTTCAGCGAGAAACGCTACATCGTACAGGTTCCCGAAGACTTGACGCCCAACACCGAAATCTTGCAGGTGACGGCGACAGACCAGGACCGCGGGAATAACGCCATGGTCCATTTCAGCATCATGAGTGGCAACACAAGGGGCCAGTTTTACATCGACGCCCAAACAGGAAAATTAGATTTGGTGAGCCAGCTGGATTACGAGATAAATAAGGAGTACACACTTCGCATTCGAGCGCAAGATGGCGGACGCCCGCCGCTCTCCAACATCAGCGGCCTTGTCACAGTGCAAGTACTGGACGTTAACGACAACGCTCCGATATTCGTAAGCACTCCATTCCAAGCTACAGTGCTGGAGAACGTTCCAGTTGGATATTCCGTCATTCATATTCAAGCCGTAGACGCCGATGCGGGAGATAATTCCCGTTTGGAATATCGTCTCACAGAGACCACACCCAACTTCCCGTTCACCATCAACAACAGCACCGGCTGGATCGTTGTAGCATCGGAACTGGACAGAGAAAGCGTGGACTTCTATAGCTTCGGAGTGGAGGCGCGAGACCACGGAATGCCAGCCATGTCCTCGTCCGCTAGCATCAGCATGACTATTCTAGACGTCAACGACAACAACCCTGAGTTCACGCAAAAGGCCTACTACATGCGCCTAAACGAGGACGCAGCTGTAGGAACGAGCGTCATCACCGTGTCCGCCGTCGATCAGGATATTAACAGCGTTGTTACGTATCAGATCTCGAGTGGGAATACAAGAAACCGATTTTCCATCACCAGCCAGAGCGGCGGAGGCCTGATAACCCTCGCTCTACCGTTGGACTATAAGCTGGAAAGACAGTACGTCCTCACCGTCACGGCATCTGACGGGACACGTTTTGACACGGCTAAGGTTTACGTCAACGTCACGGATGCCAACACGCACAGGCCGGTTTTCCAGAGCTCGCATTACACGGTCAACATCAACGAAGACCGGCCTGTTGGCACGATCGTAGTGATGATTAGCGCGACGGACGAGGACACGGGCGAGAATGCTCGAATCACATACTTCATGGACGACAGCATCCCGCAGTTTAACATCGATTTGGACAGCGGTGCAGTGACCACGCAAATGGAGCTGGACTACGAAGATCAAGTTTCCTACACGCTCGCAATTACAGCTCGAGACAACGGCATCCCGCAGAAATCCGACACCACTTACTTGGAGATCCTGGTGAACGACGTGAACGACAACTCGCCCGTGTTCCTTCGCGACCGCTACTTGGGCTCAGTCATGGAGGACATTCCCACGTTCACCAGCGTCCTGCAGGTGTCCGCGACCGACCGAGACTCGGGCCTCAACGGACGCGTCTTCTACACGTTCCAAGGCGGAGAAGACGGAGACGGAGACTTCATCATCGAGTCCACTTCTGGTATCGTACGAACCCTGCGACGTCTTGACCGAGAAAACACGCCCGTTTATAACCTCCAGGCCTTCGCGGTGGATAAAGGTGTTCCGCCGCTCAAGACGCCGGTTGATATTCAGGTGACCGTTTTAGACGTAAATGACAACCCGCCTGTGTTCGAGAAAGATGAGTTTGATATATTCGTGGAGGAGAACAGTCCCATCGGGCTCGTGGTGGCCCACATATCTGCGTCAGACCCAGATGAAGGCAGCAACGCTCAAATCATGTACCAGATCGTCGAAGGCAACATCCCTGAGGTCTTCCAACTGGACATCTTCTCCGGCGAGCTCACCGCTCTGACCGACCTCGACTACGAGACGCGTTTGGAGTATATCATCGTAGTTCAAGCCACGTCTGCGCCGCTGGTCAGCAGAGCCACGGTCCACATCAAACTCATCGACAAGAACGACAACGTCCCCGTCCTCAAGAACTTCCAGATTATATTTAACAACTACGTAACCGACAAGACCAACAGCTTCCCGTCGGGTGTGATTGGCCGGATCCCGGCTCACGACCCGGACATCTCCGATCAGCTCCACTACAGCTTCCAGGCTGGAAACGAGCTGAATTTGGTGCTTCTGAACCAGAGCACCGGAGAGATCCGACTCAGCCGAGCCCTGGACAGCAACAGACCGCTGGAGGCATCCATGAAGATCTCCGTCTCGGGTAAGAACCTGTTTCGGCTCTTTCAATGTGCTTGTTTAGCGGTTTTGTAGGACTGAGCACTTGCGTGACATCTGTGCATTTGTAGGTCGACGGTGATGTATAATACATGACCTTTGCTCCGAGGTGCAGTGGCTCGGTATTAATAAGTGAGCGAGTGAATGCGCTGAGGGACACGGATGTTGGTTTAGCAGATCTGTCTCCATTTCCTTCAGGTTATTTGACATTGAAGCAGTCATGAATGTACAGTGGTCTGTCTTCACGTGATTGCGTGACTGTGGCCTGATGGACGGCCGCCGGAGAAACACGCTCGGCTGCATTCATGATTTTAGTTCGTTCTGACAGAAAAGATGCATTACAGGCCAATTAATATGAGACAAAACTGCAGGAATAGGTCTGTTTTGTAGAGTTTTAATGGTGCTGACAGAAATGTTCACTCAGTCAGTGATGTTTAAACATGTTCAGATCTAGTTTTACTCTGTATTTTAAAGGGTTCAATAGAAAGGATGCTTTGTATTTCATTTGTTTTGCCAACATTTACATATTAAAAAAAATATATATATATGTATATATATGTGTGTGTGTAAGATGTAAGACATCAAAAACTGGTGCAGTGGATCCACTGGCCCTCTGAGGCCCCAGGCATCAGGACATCCTTATTGTTGAGCCCTGCTTTACATGCAGTTCAGCGCTTCAACTGTTCTTTGTGTCTGTGAGGGTCAAAGGTCAGATGGCCAGCGCAGATCATCTTAGCATAGCTGTAAGAGTGGTTAGCGGCCGTTAGCCCAGCGCCATGACTTGTTTTTCTAGCACTGAGCCCCGAGAGCGTCTTTAATGAAAGAGGAAGAGCCTCTAGTGACATATGAGCGTGTGTGCGATTATAGATCGATTCATACGTGTGTAACAGCTGCTGCTGCGTCTCAGCCAATCAGAGAGCAGCACTCAGCGCTCGCATCACACCTGCTGAGAGAGAGATAAAATACTGCTGAAGAGGAGTGTGTCGCA